CCTAGAAAATAATCTTCAACTTAAAAAATGTTTCATTCCATTTAATAATAATACCTAGTTAAATTATATAGCTTAGAAGAAATATCAATTTAATCATATTATTTAAAATCTAATAACTTTTATGACTTTTAAAGAAAAAATCTCATAGTAAAAATAATATTTGCTAATATATTATAACTTGGATTATAATAATTTATAATTTTTAAATTATAAATAAATTGAAGAAAAAACCTACGGTTAAAATTTAACACGCATTATGACTACGGAAGAAAAATCAAATGTTACGTATAGTCATTTATATCCTATTTTTTTTCTAATTTAGGTAATTTCCAACGTTTAATCACTAATCCTTCGACGGGACGATGGTGTATGTGAAAACGTCCATTGTCTTCCAATATTCCGGTATTTTCTTCCTGGGATTTTCTTCCTTTAATAACTTTTACAAGGCATTTATCGTTCAATAAGTTGGTTAACTTGAATGGTAATATTAATGGATATATGTGTTCAATGGCAAGTTGAACTATTTCTTCACTCGGAGCTGCGGACAAAATATAATTCAACGAATACATTTTATGATAAACAAATTTATTTTTTTAATATCTCTGAAAATTTGCTTACCATTAACAGTAATGCTTCCAGTAGAATATATTTTTAATGTAGCTTTAAATTCTTTAATTTTGTATGTCACGCCGGGATGTAACTCGGGCTCATACCTTTTAACAAAATAATATGATCAAAAACAAAMTTAAAGAAGTTTTTATCAGAACAGTAACCTACGCGTATTGGGTCTAAAACCCATTGTGGTGTTTTTGTATAATGCGTTTTCCCCAAAAAATTATGTATGCATATAAAGGTGGATATGTACTGTGTAGGTACATTGTTAAAATTTATAATTATGTTAATAGAAAAACAACATTTCACAACAGAACTACATAATATTATAAAATGTACGTTAAACATAGAAAAAAAWGATTCTAGTTTGATATATTATAGTTAATTTTCTTTTTGGATATTATATTATTTATAATGTTCAGTCAATTGTTTACTACATGATGGACTGCACAGAATTGATTGATTGATTGATGACTGCACAGAATTAGTTAAATTATAAACACGACAGTTTGACATGAAAATAAGATTWAATTTTTAATTTTAAGATTCTTGATGAAGCGAAAAATTTATTTGTAAGTACAATATTAAAATTATGTTTGTTCTGCTTACTAGGCAATCGCACGGAATCATTTTTTCATATWAAATGATTTATTATTGAGTTCTAATTTAACATTAATTATTGCAGTAACCTACTCAATCCCCGATTTTTATGATTGGCATTTATAACTTTATAAGTGTATTAAACATTACTTCTAAGAGAAAAGTTAAACATGTGTTGTAGTATATTCTAGTATTCAAAACCTAGAGGTGGCTAGTAATATAGCAGCGGTTCCAAATCTTTTTAGTTGTGCGGACCACCAATAATGTAAAATAAAACATTGAGACCCACTTACCTAACGTTAAGGTATAAAATATAAACACACACAAATAAGACAATAAAAGATATGGACGTGTATAAAATCATATGAAAATCTCGATGTTGATTCCAATAACAATTTTCAGACCCGTGTCCGCGGCCCAGTACCATATTTCTCGCGGCCCACAGGTAGTTGAGAACCGCTGGTCTACAGTATTATATAAGAGTCTTTAGAAAAATTAGGGCCAGATTTAAATGTATTTAAATTGATTAATTTTGAATTTTATTCTATAGTAAAAATAATGCAATGAAAATGAAACATATTTTTGGCATCAACGATGTATGTTAAGGTTAACCTATTATCATTTTCTATAAATACAAATTGTGTATTAATATGGGATCTCTTTRTGGAATACCTTGCTGATGCTACAATATCGTTTGAATGTTTCAAAAGAGGACATTTATACGCATATGGCACAATGGTAATAGACACTAATAGTCAATGATTGTTTTTTATGCACTTGCAACAAAAGTTCACCATAAAATGGTGCATCGTGAGCTTTTAAAACATGCTTTCTACATTAAATTAATTTATATTAAATTAAATTATAATTAACTAAAAGAAAATATTTATAAAATAATAATGATTGATATTATCGTAGTACTTTTAAAGTACCTGTAAAATTTTTAATAGATTCACTAGATATAATTTAAGTGTTAACCTTTATTGAAATTGTGAATTT